CTTGGAGAAACAGGAATTTGATTATGGTCCTAGGCTCTTCCACATTGAACTTTTCTGGAGGTGCCGCCATGTTCACTTTGGACCTGAACATGAACGATAAGTTAAAATCATAGGTAGCTGATTTTTGCACCATTGAATACAGACAAATTGGCCAATATACCCTGCAATTTATTGCTTCCTAGCTCAGTTTACTGTGAGGCAGAAACCACAACAGTGTATCCTTCAAAACAGCCACTTGCCTCACAGTAAGCCAGCTGGTTTTAGCCACTGCAAGAGAGACAGGTGATAAGATACTTGGGGATGGGGGACAAAAGTATGCATTCAGATTGGCTCTGAACTTTTACATTTCTAAAAAGTTAGATATCTGAGTAATAAAATGGAGTATATAAAAATTATAATAAAATTAGAGATGGGCATGAAACAGAAAAAAAAGTATAAATTTTGATTTGTGATTTGTCAAGGTCGATGAATCATGAATTATGAATTTATACTTTTTTGATTAATTAACAAATTGATTAATTTTTGCCTTTAAAACCCTATAAAATCCTCCCCAGCACGCAGAGACACCAAATTCACAGGAAAGCTCCCCCTGACTCTCCTCTACAAGCTCAGCAGTTTTGATGAGGGTTGGGTTTCAGACATCCAAGTTATACACTCACAAGTAGCTCCCTCAGGAAACTTCCCCCCTAGACACCCAGAGACACCAAAATCACAAAGAAGCTTCTACTGATTCTCCTCTATAATCCCTCCAAGTTAGGTGAAGATTGGGTTGTTATTAGGTGAGAATTGGGTTGCTGTGCGTGATTACATATGTTTCTCAATATGATGACAACTGCTTGGAATGTGTACAAGCTCACTCTGTGTGTCATTTGAAGTCAATTAGAGACACTTATTATACCATCTTTTCTCTTATGTAGTAAACAAAAGTCCGAATAGTCAAAGCTATGGTTTTTCCTGTAGTGATGTATGGAAGTGAGAAATGGACCATTAAGAAAGCAGACCGCCGAAGAATTGATGCCTTTGAACTGTGGTGCTGGAGGAGGCTCTTGAGAATCCCCTGGACTGCAAGGAGAACAAACCTATCAGTTCTAAAGGAAATCAGCCCTGAGTGCTCACTGGAAGGACAGATCCTGAAGCTGAGGCTCCAGTACTTTGGCCATCTCATGAGAAGAAAAGACTCCTTGGAAAAAACCTTGATGTTAGGAAAGTGTGACGGCAAGAGGAGAAGGGGACGACCGAGGATGAGATGGCTGGACAGTGTCTGCGAAGCAACCAGCATTAATTTGACACAACTCCGGGAGGCAGTGGAAGACAGGAGGGCCTGGCGTGCTCTGGTCCATGGGGTCACGAAGAGTCGGACACGACTGAACAACTAAACAAACAAACAAAAAGTAATTATCCCGCATGATCCAAAGTCTTTCATAGAAAACAGAGCTGACAGAAAACCGATGTATATGAAATCTGGATACCTTTAAAATTCAGTTCTAAGAACCAGTGCCTTGCCCAACACCACATTTTCTTCAGAAATTGTCAATTCAGGAGGGTAGAAAGTGTAATTATTTTTAAGAACTATTTTATTCTCTTAAGGTTTGTATATTATATGCACTAAGGCATATAATATACTAATATATAATTAAAAATGGATCACCAAATTCATTCAAAAACTGCTATTTTGTTGATTCGTATTTGTATGAATCAATTGTTTCGTCAATTCATTTGGCTGTAAAATGGCCTCTCAGGCACTTAGAGACACCAAGATTACAGAGATACTTCCTCTGACTCTCTTTTACAATTAATCTTAGTTTGGTGAAGATTGGGTCTGAGACATCCACATTATACACACAAATTGGTTCCCCCCCAAGAAAGTGCCCTTTAGCAGCTGGCTTGGGGAAAACAATAAATTTGGTGATTCAATTTTTACATTTATGCCCATCTCTAAATAAAATCTGATAATGAAAGACAGCAACACCCATCCATTCTGAAATGCTAATACCAAACAAGAAAACTTTCTTTTCCACCAAAGCCCCATTTGAAAGTTTCTTTGTTAAATTTGTATTACACTGTATTTTTGTACAGCCAAAGCTCTCTGGGAGCTTTAATAAATAAAGCTTTAATGCATGTAATATACAAACCTTAAGAGAACTAAATAACTCTTTAAAAATAATAATTATACTTGCTCCCCTGAATTGACAATTTTTGAAGAAAATATGGTGTTGGGTAAAGCATTGGTTTTTAGAGCTGAATTTTAAAATTATCCAGATTTCATATACATCAGTTTTCTGTCAGCTCTGTTTCCTATGAAAGACTTTGGATTATGCTGGGATAATTACTACATAAAAGAAAAGATGATGTAATGATCAACTTTAAATGACGCACAAAACGAGTTTGTATACATTCCAAGCAGTTGTCATCATACTGAGAAATATATGTGTTAAGTAATCATACACAACAGATTCACCAGAATGACCTCAGTATCTTATATACACATCCATCAGTTTAATCCAATGGCAACCAGACAGACTGTGTATGTGGTATAAATAACAGAAGCACATTCCATTTTTAGCAATGTCCAAAGTGATACACCAGCTAAAAATGGACACTAAGCATCATGGGAAAAGCCAGTTCCCTACAAATCAACAACTAATACGTTCACTAATATAAATAGTGACTCATTTAGCTAAATGTAATGTCAGCATATCATCATCCAGTGTTTTAATTACCTTAAATCTTGTAAATACAGTAAAGGAAAGGTATGCTATGCAAGTCAGTTCTAGCAGGCACAAGGTTTCAGAAGTACCAGCCCATATAGAGAACCACAAGAGAATGCAGTGCATTCCCTACTTTGAGATTTTTAGTTTGAGCTAGGAAAAACATAATCATTAAGGAGCTGTGGTGTATGGCAGATTTATACTTTTGTACCAAGTACTGTATAGTGAAATTCGAGATGAATGGATTCTCTCATATGCTAGCACTTGGGGTCATTCTGTACAATTTTTAGTAGTATATTTGGAACACACAATTTCAAGTACCTATTTGCAGAGCGCAATACACATTTTAGAAATTAATTTCCACTCTCCACTAGGAAGTATAAATTTTCAGCACTCTTAAGGCCAGCAACTGATCACCAAATTAAAAAGCTGGAGAGAAGTTCCTAAAAAGGTAAAATCCCACATGGCCTTATCTAAACAACACATGAGACTTGAGGAATTTATTCCAGGTGTGTGGTTGCCATCAGGGTGTGTGCAACAAGAAGTTTCACAGATTGTGACACTGATGCCTTGCTCCAAACTGTCCAAGTCTGTATGCATTTTAGCTCTCTACCAGTTACCACCCCTCCCACCTGGTATTTGAGTTTTCTTTTCTTTCTTTCTTTCTTTTTGCACTGTGCAAGAATAACACAAAAACAGTTTTATGCCGAGTCCTACTGCCAGCTCGGAAAAAGTGAAAATGGGTGTCACTTCACACGAGAAAGCCTTCTCCAGCTTTCCCTTCCTGTGACATAGCTTAGTATAAGATTCGTCTCCTTGTCTGGAGACCAGATGGAAAGCACTTGTCTGAAACTTCAGCTTGTGCCCTGACCCGTCAACTCTAGGTGCCCTATGAAAGACCACACTCTGAAATGTCACGCTACAACAAAATCTGCACATCCTGAAGGTGCCACCCTTTACTTTTATTTTCCTTCAAGCAGGTGCCTTAATCCAGACTGCAGCCATAAAACACTCAAGAAAGTCTCACTGAACTAATTTCTGAAATAAATGTTTTAGGATATCACAGTCAAAAGCCAACCATCAGAGAGCCGGCACTCGAAAATATATGCTAACATGATGGGGGCGGCTGCTTCATGCAGCAAATTGTTGGTACCATGAAAAGGCAGTAACTCTTCAACTTTTAAATTGTTATGTACAAATACTGCTAGGGAAAAGGAGAGATTAGAGATGGGATATTTGTAAATATCCTGTCTCTAAGAGAGATACAACTAGGATTTTTCTGCTGGGTGTCAAAATAAAGTTGTGTTAACCCTGAATTGATTTCTACTCCCTTTGGTTTGCAGGTACTGGCAGCTGATTTCTCCTCTGCCTGTGGGAACACAGTATCATCTTTTCCTCACTGTGTAGATGGGGGTAAAAATCTGTGCAAAAAGCCAATGGTACTACTGTGTTTCCCGGAAAATAAGACAGGGTCTTATATTAATTTTTGCTCCAAAAAACGCACTAGGACTAATGTTCAGAGGATGTTTTATTGTTTTCATATACAGTTCATCAATCTACATTTATTTAAATACAGTACAGTAATATATCCTGGTTATTGCACAATACTGGAGTTTCACTTAACAGGGGCTTATTTTGGGGGGGGCTTATATTACGAGCATCCTGAAAAATCCTACTAGGGCTTATTTTCAGGTTAGGTCTTATTTTGGGGGAAACAGGGTGGGTGATGCATAATTTTCAAATATGCTAAAATAATCTCGCTATTTAGCTTTTAAAGTTTTTCAACTTAGAAAGCTCTGACACAATTAATATCGATCCATCCACACCCAGTCTGGTCTTCGCATTATTCCAGCAATAATAACTCCCTCCTAGGATTTGCTGCGGTGTCGCCAATTTATAATCCTGGCCTCTGTTCCGCCTCTTGCTAGAACAGTCGACTGTCAGCAGGTCATACGAGGACAAGGAGAGGAACAAGGAAGGCGACGTGACGCCTTCGTGTACCGTAATGGCCCCCACAGGGCTAAAAACTACAATTCCCAGCATGCAGCGCAAACTGGAACCCCCTTCTGAGGCCTCTGGTAGCACTAATGCAGCACCACCCTTCCAAACGGCAGGGGGTGTCGGCGACGGAGGAGTTAAAAAAACTACATCTTCCAGAGTTCGACGCGAGATTCCCCGCCCCCGTGCCACCAGACCTACAGGCGCCATTGGCTGCTTCAACGCCTCGCCCTTACGTCACTGTCTCCGCCTCTGCCTCAGCGAGGCGCGGTATATAAGTCGCGGCAGCGGCAGCCCTCCGCCTTTAGTTCCTGGCGTCTGAGAGGAGAAAGATGTATCGTTTCCGTTCACGGGCATCCACGGGGATTTCTGCCGCTGCTACAGCTCTGCCTATTACTTGCCTTTCTCAATCACATCCGTTGCCTCGGTCCGGGAAGCCGGCCTCACAAAGACGTTTTTATAGTAAAAAGCGTTCCTGCTCTTCCATCGGCTGATTGTCCCTGCGACCTGGGCGAGGGGAAAAACAAAAGAAAAGGCCAGGCCGGCAACCGAGACCCCCCCACTGCGGGAGCGCCGGAAGGAAGCCGCGTGGAAGTTATTACCGCTACAGCCCGCCGCCGCCGCCATGCCGAAGTCTAGGCGCCGAGGAGCGGGGAACTCCCGCGGAACGCCAGGTGAGGCCCGGTAAAACGCGCATGCGTCCCCCCGCGGGGTCTTCTGGACGCTGTAGTCCCCCTGGTGGGCTTTTCGACGACGCGGGCCTGGGAATGAACTGCTTGTCCCATCGTGATGTGCGGGAGGGCGGCGGGAAGGGCGGGCGGGCGCCGGCCCGCTTGGAGGAGGCCTAGCTGACGCAAGCCTTTCTTATGGCCGGGTGGGGCGAGGTCCTTGTTTTAATACCCGCGTGGGGCGATCTTCGTACGAGCTGATTGTCCCGCTCTTTCGGCCCAGCCTGGCCCCTTAGTGGCTCTGCGTCATTTAGTGTGCCGTATTAACGCCAGCCCGTCATGACACACGGATGAAGTCAAAACAGCCACGCATTCCAGGAGCGGACTCCATTTTTTCCCTCTCAGCCTTTTGTATTGTTTGCTGGCGTGGCAGAACCATAGTAACGGGTGATGACCGAGACGAAGGGCACGGGACGTGCTCTTTCTTTGGACTTGCCGTCCCTCTTCTGAATTGAATTGTCTCAGATAATCTCCAGTCTTAGTCATTACATTACGTTAGTTAGAGGATGAAACCACATTTTCAGGAAAGATTAATAAGTCTAGAGAAATCTCACAGGTGGAAATTCTGGGGCCTGCCTGTTCTCAAAGTGAGTAGCAAAAAGTCGGCTAGGGTTTTATGAATGAATTGAGAAAGATTTGAGAGTAGTAAGGATACCAAAATGTTATAGCATGAAACTCATTGAAAGCTGGAGTCAATTGCAATATGAAGTCAGGTAATTTTTATAGACATTAAAGCAGCTGGACTCCATTTTTAATAGCTCTATTGTGAAGTTTGAAAATTGAGTATTTTTGGTGCAAGAAACCGAGTGTCAAACTTGTGTTTTATAAGTATTGCTTCCTCCTTCATTCCTGTGTGCTTACTTGTGTTTGTTGTACAAGTACTGAGAAACGTTCAGTAGTTTTCAAAATGTAGGGGCGCCCTAAAAGCTGATTCTGTGTTGGCACTTAGTTTACACAAGGAAATTCTTTGTTTATCCTAGCAGTCTGGAAATGAACAATAGGCTATGACAGATGTCATCCAATGCCCATTGGTAAAGAAAAATATATGAATAAAAAGTTTGTCAGTGTACCATGTGATTTTTACTATGCTGGGAGAAGTTAGTCAGTAGACAAATAAAGCAGCTTAGTGAGGCTTTAATACCTAGGTATGTTGCTATTGATAGTTCAGAACTAAGATATTGTGAGGTCATTGTGTTAAGCAACAGTCTAGGTTTATATTAAGTATTTTCTGGTTTCCCAGGCTGTGCAATATTTTCAGTTTTTACTGCTGGAGTTTGGTGACAATTCTCCACTGTTCTTAAACATAAAACTACTTATGGCATTGTTATGTGATGATAGTCCTGCTTAAATGCTCAAAGTAAGTGTAAACTTGGGTAGACTGTCTACTGAGACAAGGCAGGACATACAAAGGTATGTTTTTAAAATATTGCAAACAGATGGTCAGAAATCTGCCTGTTACACTCCTTCTCACTGAAATGATGTATCCAGTCTCAGCATCACAGTAGCTGCATATACCATAATTTACATCATATGAAATACTGTACTGGGCTTGCATCTTAGTCTCATCTTTTCTGCATGACCAGGAGGAAGAATAAGCTAGAATTCACTTTTACTGTACAGTGGTTTGGTTACTTTTAAGGAAAGCAAAGTTTGTTCTACAAGCCACCATTTGTACCTTGCTTAGTTAATGGCTAGAATTCCTTTTTAAACATAATTCTTCATTTATTTATATTGTAAAGCCAGAAATCTTCTGAAGTGTGTGGCTTTCCTGTTTTACCTAAAGGCTACATCCTACCCCAGCAAAGTTGTTCTTTGGCCATAGATGTTTTTGCTGATGGCATATTCCAGATGGCTGAGGGCAGGATTGGTAGTTGAGTTACAACATGGCAAGCCCTTGTTTCCAGTCGTGTTATGTTTGGCCATTATGTACATAGTTGTGCACCATCTGTAATGTATACATTATTGGGAGGTTAACATGACTTCCTGCAATTATGAACCTATGGCACCAGTTCAATGAGAGATGGACTACTGCCAAATCAAGTAAGTCAGAGGACTTGTGGCTTGCTGAAGTGTGTGTGTTATCGAGAGGAAGCCAGTTGTCTGTTTGTCTCCCTGGCACTAAATGGGTCTATTGTAGAGTCGTGTATTTGCAGTTTAGCAGTAGGAAGCTATTAAAGTGTATAACTTTAATATATTTTCTCTGTACAAATGTGGCCTATCAAATGTTTTTCTAGGTGCCCAGCGCAGAAACATGCAACCTTTTAGTGATGAAGATGCATCTATTGAAACTATGAGCCATTGTAGTGGCTTCAGTGATCCTGCTAGCTTCACTGAGGAGGGTAAGTCAGCTTCAGTGTCCTATTCTGAAAGGGCTACCGAGATGAGGTATTCTTTGTTTAGGGAGACCCTAGATTGGAAATGAGTATATTATTTTAGAATGATAAAAGCTCTTAGTAGTAATCCCTACTGTATAAGACCAGTTGCAGATGTGCCCGCGCTGTTTTATTTGCAGCAGTTGCAGAGAATTCAAATCCTTGTTTTTTCTAGTGTATTTATATTTGTGTGGGAACCTCACACTGCAGTCCAAATTCATCAAAAGCAAGTGAGACGAATGTGTGCCTCACACCATTGACATTGGTTCTGCTTCATGTGTGCATAGGGACATGATAGGAGTTAGTACAGCCAACATGGATGTGGCTGACCTGTAACAGAGACTCTCTTCTTAAGTTGCTGTAACACCGAAAGCCCTAGCAGGTTTTGCTGGCAAACTCAGCAAAGAATAGATGTGGGCGGGAATGGATGGTAAAGTAAAAATAGAGACTGAAGGAAACAGATGGCAATGCAGAGAAAGAAAAGGAAATGGCTGACAAAAGAGGGTGGCAAGAGAACCTGGAAGTGGGGGAAAAAAAGAGATAATCCAACAGAGAGAGGTGCAGAAAGGGGGGTGGGTGGAGATAAACAGGCCTGGAGAAGTTTTGGGAGTGGGACCCTGGGGAATAGAGGAAGGGTATTAATTGGAAGAAAAATTCATACCTGTGATGGAATAAAGATAAAGTGTGTTAGGAAGTGCAGAAAATCCAAACTTCAGTGCATATGTTTTTTTAAAAAGTGGGAATAAAGCTTTGTGGTATTAAAATATGGTGTGTGTGAAGTTGTCTAGGAAAATAGGCTGGCAGAATGGTTATAGATGGTTCTTAAGTCTTTTGGAGTTAGGGTGCTGGTACTACTTGTAGGGTTTTTTGTTATGATTATGGGGGACGTTTCCTATGCCTCCCTCAGGAGAAATGTTAGGGGCAAAGATTTCATTATTGGTGCCTAGAAGTGCAGGGTGCATGTGGTCTTAGAGATCAAATGTGCGTAATACTCCTGCCACAGTTTCTTCAGGGAAAAGGAAAACCAGATTTCAGTAGTGTAGCTGCAGAGGTCAGTAAATCCTTAAGAATTTTGTACAGATCTCATAATTAGAAAAAAAAACACATTGTTTTGTTAACTGTGGAAGTTAACATATTAAAATATTGACATTTTCTCTATGTAAAATATGCATAATAGCTACAAGTGAGTGGTGGTAACCTAGTGTTTTTACTCAGATGTTCTTGGTTATATTCATGTGCATAAATGTTATGGAGGGAAGTTTTGAGTATCACTGGAATATGGGGACTGCATGTGCCAGATCAGACCTTTGGTCCAGCTAGTTCTGTATTATCTTGACTGACTGGTAATAACACAGCAAAATAACAGTTTGGGGGGAGGGGGAGACAAAGAGGTAGAAACAAAATTAAAGCCCAAAACACAGTGGAATGGCACTGTTTCTGACAGCTTTCAAAATGCTATTAATGATGGCGTCAGTTGGGCAGAATTGCAGAATATCTGCTGGCTAGGGAGAAGTGGAACAGAATAATGGAGATCAGTTCAGATACATGTATCATTTCCACATGTCAAAAAAGCCATGATCAATCAGTTTGGGCAATATTCAGTTTGTCCAAGTTAAAATATATAATCTTTTTATTCCTGACTAGTGCCTGAAGTGGATGAGGAAGCAACCCATGAAGACTTTGAGTATAAACTGAAGGGATTCATTGACCTTACATTGGACAAGAGGTACAGGAGGCCTGAGGTGTAGATTTCAATGATTTTTCCAATTGTGGGCTGGGCTTTGTTCATGTGTAACGACAGCTTTGAAACTGAGTGTAACTTCTAGGAGGTATTGCTGCTGATTTGATTAAGTGAGAAGGCTAACAGGTTGGAGAAACTACTCTGTTAAATCGTATCAGAGTTCTTGATATGGCAACTTGTATTGATAGCTGTAAAAAAAAATACAGTGGTGCCTCGCTTAACGGCAATAAGCCGTTCCAGGAAAATCGCTGTTAAGCGAAAATGTCGTAAAGTGAAAATAAAAAGCCCATTGAAACACATTGAAAACGGTTCAGTGCATTCCAATGGGCTAAATACTCGCCGTCCAGTGAAGATCCATATGGCAGCCATTTTCGGTGCCTGTATAGCGAGGAATCTGTCCCTAAACACAGCGGGGAGCCCTTTTAATTACCCGGCGGCCATTTTGAAACCGCCGATCAGCTGTTAAAAAACATCATTTTGCAAAGAATCGGTTCCCGAAGTAAACCGAAAAAACCTTATTTAGACCATTGTTTTGTGATCGCAAAAACATCGTGAAGCAGATTTGTCGTAATGCAGGGTAATCGTAAACCGACTAATTAAATGGTTCTGGCTCATAGTCTCATCTTTCAATGGCATTGTGGGTTTGAGTAAGCCTTTGGGTGTTTCTGGAATGTGCTGTAATCATTGATGCTATTATCTGCTGCTACAGTGCAGGGTGGTGAACTCTTTCACTGGAGATTTTTAAGCAGAGGTTGTCTGGCCCCACCTATCAGGGATACTTTAGCTGTGGATTTCTTGCACTGGCAGGGGACTGGATTTACTGACCTTTGGTTTCTCTTCAAGTTCTGCAATTCTGTAACATGCTCGGTTTAAACCTTTGCCAGACAACTCATTGCTTGGCATAATATTTTTTCTTTCAATTGTGTTCTCACCTACTCTTTTCTGACAACTGCGGGATCGGTTTCGTCAGATGCCAAGTAAGGGCAAAAGGCTGAGAACAGAGAGTGTATAAAGGGGTTGCTTCCACTGAAGCATTAAGAAACTGGAAGGATCAGAGGTCAGGTAGACTTGTCACAAGTGAGACTCAGCAACTTTTAAGGATATGCTTTCATATGTTTCCTAAATGGGGCTAAATGTGTTTTAGGGTCAGTTTGCTAGCCATAGCCTTAGATCAAGGTTGCAGACTATGTGCCAAACTAAAGCAACCATTCTCAACTTTTTGTTGAGGGGGGGCATGAAAGAAATATAGGCTGGATTGGGATTCTATAAATCACATAATAGATTTGTGCCCCCCTTCAAATGTACTTGGGCCTCCTGGTGGGCCCACATTGACAATGGCTGATCTAGATGATGTGAGGCTGTAGGTCTTGTTAGTTTTCATCATTCCCTGTGCTGCCTAGCAGTGGTTGGAGTTGGAGTCCCACAATGTTACATCCCCTGTTACTTGCTTAAAAGTTCTGCATGTTACGTCACCTCTGTTGAATTTGTTCAAAAGAGTTCAAAATGATAGGGGCAGAAAATGATTGATCATTAGAAATAACAGATGGGAAGTATACATATGTTTTTCAGCTAAAAGTTGATCAGAGACTGTGTTTTTCCCCAATAGTGCAAAGACAAGGCAGTCAGCCCTTGAAAGTCTCAAAAATGCCCTAGCATCAAAAATACTGTATGATTTCATCCTGGAGCGGAGAATGACATTAACTGATAGCATTGAACGCTGTATCAAGAAAGGTAACACACTACTGTGTTTTCCTCTAAAGCAAGTCTGTCTATAGTTTGATTTTTATAGCTAAACAGTTCAGTTTTACAGTGAGTTTTTATTGGTTTTCTGTATTTAGGAAAGAGTGAAGAACAGCGCGCAGCAGCAGGGCTGGCATGTCTGCTTTGTGTGCAGCTGGGGTCAGGAATTGAAAGTGAGGAAGTCTTTAAAACCCTTGCACCAGTTCTAAAGAAGATACTTTTGGATGGGTCAGCAAGTATTCAGGCTAGGCAAGCTGTAAGTATAACGTAAATATTTGACTTTTAAAGGTCTAAATAATGATGTCAGCTCAACTGTAGTAAACATTAAATTAATCAGACTCTTTAAGTCAACACTTAAGCCCTACTGATTCATTGGGTCTGTTCTAATTGGGAGTGACAGCTGATACACTGCAAACCAGTAGATGCACTGTGCCCCCCCCCCAAATTCCTGTATGAGTTTTTTGGGGGTCATGATGTTAGAATATTTCGCTGACTAAATTGTTTTCATATTCTTTGATAACCATATCTGTTATCTAATAGTTTATGGTGCTGAGAACGTGATCAGTTTAACCTAAGTGCTTGTATGATTGATAGTGGGGGGAGCTGCTGGCATTGTTCAGCTAGTTATTTTGCAGTATCATGTTTCTTATAAAAATACTTGTTCGGATTGTGGTCAAACAGTGCTTGGCTAAATGGTTAATGAAATAAAAGTGTTTTTTCTAAGCAAGCATATTGCCTTGTTTGACTGCAAAGGACAGGTGAATGTTTGATGACTTAAGCTGGTCTTAGATGGCCTAAGCTAATTGGATTTAAACCAGTGTGACAGAATCTACTGCTGTTGGCTATTAGATGTTTGTCATGCTGTGAGTACACATTGTTATGTAAGTCTTGTTGATGCAATCAAAATCAAAGGTATTAACTTTTTGTGTTTGTTTCGGTCCAGTGTGCCACCTGCTTGGGAGTCTGTTGCTTTATTGCCACGGATGATATTACAGTAAGGAAACTTCTAAAATAAATATTCTTGCCTGAAGACAATTGAATTTTTTTGGCAGCTTACTTTGACTGTCTGTTTTCAAAATTAGGAGTTATATTCAACTATGGAGTTCCTGGAAACTATCTTCACAAAATCCTATCAGAAGGAGAGGAATTCAAATGGGGTTCCTAGCACCCAGAATACAGTTCTTCACATCAGCGCTCTTTTGGCATGGACTCTGCTGTTGACCATCTGCCCAATGAATGAAGTGAAGAAAAAACTTGAAATGTGTGTATTCTATTCCCTCATAACGGGTTCTGTGTGTAAAAATCCCATCCAAACAAAGGGTGGGAAATCAGAAGGATACATTGATCTCTTGCAGGCTCACAAAAATGAGTGGTGGGCTTTTGCTTTTTCTGATTTCTTTTGTGGTTTGCAGTAATGTATTTGCTAGCTATAGGGCTGGTACCCATTTCCTTCAGTTCTATAGTGTGGCTTGGGAGGTTGATGGCTGCACACACTTCCCTGATCAATCCCCTGACATAGCCATGGAAGAGCTCCCTTTTAATCTCTGCTGGCACTAGAAATCTGACATGAGAGAGGCAGAAGCTTTGATATTTTCTGGGGCAGTTGGAGGTTGCTGGGGGAGGGGGGGAGAGTGCTTGCACATGCTTGAAGAGAGGTTGAAAACAACTTGTGGTCCTTTGGGTCCCTGCTTGGCTCTAAAATGCTTTTCCATGGAATATGTTACCCAATATAGATAAGGTGGTCTTTATTTTCCTAGGCATTTGCATAAATTTCCCATCTTGCTGTCCTGTGATGATGTGAACATGAGGATTGCTGCTGGGGAAGCTCTGGCTCTGCTGTTTGAATTAGCACGAGAAGCAGATGAGGTAAATCACCCACAAACCAGAAAACTGGGGATGTTGCATCGCAGTTATGTTTTTTCCATGTTACAACATTTTGTGTGTTCTGGTAGAGAAATAAGAGTTAATTGATGAATATTGGACCAGCCTTCCCTAACCAGGCTCTCCAGATGTATTCTATCAGCTACAGTCAGAGTACTTATTGCGGCAGGCTGTTCTATACAGTAAAAGCCCTCAAGCCAGGCTGGGCAACAGCCAGGGATCCATGGTTGCTTCTCATCCACTGTCTACCACCCATGGCCCACACCCAATAGTTGCTTTTCAAACATCAGAAGAGACTAAAAAGCCACTTCTAGTTTGAGTAGTTTTCTTCTGAGTTTGTGAGTTGGGGTAAGAATGCCTGCTACTTAAGACTAATGCTTTTTGGAGCTGCAGTTCTCATTTTGGCTGAAATTTTTTACTGGTGGGGTAAAGGCTGTGCTTAAGAAGCCCTATTTTTCACTCTCATACACCCAGCAAAAGCATAATCTAGCATTGCTATGAGGATGTCTGCCTTAAACGCAACGTTTTCATAACTCAACTATTGTTCAGTAAGAACTGGAATTTTATTGCCATGGTTTGCAGCCTTGCTGTCTGTGTATATGGTTACAGGTTTATCTGTTTCATAGATAGGTGCCAACAGGAACAAAAAATGGTCATAAGACACTTCGGGTTATGCCATAAGATTTATATCGTAGATTTCAGTAGGTTTTTTCTTAGATTTTTACATGTTTTTATTAATGTCTCTGCTATTTCCTTTGACAGTGTTGAAGACTAGTCCACTTCTCTATCTGCCTGTCTTGGGATGGTAGCCAGAAAAAATATTGGCAACATAGGATAAGAGAATAACTGTAAATGGGTCACGACAGCCAGTGTATTGCACAGTGTTTAAATATATTAATTTATATAATTAAAGCTTTTGCTTCAGTTTGAGTCTCCTACGGAATTTTAATGTAGAAGGGAAGAATGTTTCAATCCGATATTTAATCCAATATATGATATTAACATTATGATGTTAACATTCATTCATTAACATCAACTCCTACACATAGTCACAAACACCGTACTTTGATTTTTACAATATATTGGTAATGGCCTACGTACTAGTATCATTAAGAAATTTTCCATCACTCACAGGAGTGGATGACCGCATTACACATCATGTGATAAGTAACTTGTCTCCAGAGTGTTAGGATGTAGAGATGGATGGGATGAAAAAATACAGCCTTCAAAAATCATGTCCTTACATTAGAAGAGGGCTCAGAGGGGTTGTTTACTGCTCCATGCTAAAATTATTCACAATTACAATTGTAATTTGCTAAATTAGTCGTTTGCTTTGCTATTTGTTCAGTTGTGAAACAAGAATAGATTTATAAGGTCATTAATAGGCTTAGAGCAGCCATTTTCAGCTTTTTTTAGGCTACAGCCATAAACACAGTATGAAAGAAATATAGGCCGAATAGGATTGTATAAGTTGTATAACACAGTAGTCCCCATCTGAGGACTGGTTGGGGGGGGTGGAGCTCATGCATATGCACATTCTTGTCGGGGAACTCCACTCGCGTGCATGCAGGGGGCAGAATGCGCTCACACTCTGGCAGGAGATCTGTGTCTGCAGCGTGATCCTGGATAGGCCCCAGACTGGTGGTTGGGGACGTCTGGTATAACAGACTTTATAAGGTGGTGTGTGAAGAATTGTTTCCAGTCTGTGGCACCCTTCAAATGTGCTACCTTCGTTCCCAGGGCCATGTGGCCTCTGTTGAAAATGGCTTCCCCAAAGGCTTTGAAACATGAGTCTGCCAACAAAGTCACACCAGAAACAACTCTTCTTTTTTCCTTCCATCTGGTTAGAATTTCTTCTACGAAGATATGGAGCTTCTGACACAGAAATTGAAGGCTCTGGCTACAGATGGGAATAAACACCGTGCAAAGGTAGACAAAAGGAAACAGCGATCTGTCTTCAGAGATGTTTTACGAGCTGTGGAGGTAAACAGTAATAAGTATTAAAGCTAACTGACAGATTTAATCTTTCAAAACATTTGATTTGGAAAGCTAGTTTTATAATCAGTGCATCATGATTTCTAAACAGATCTCTTGCAGGATTGCAGTCTCCATTGTTCCTCAGAATTGGTTGTAGTGCCTAGGGTTTGTGGGAGTTACAGGATAAAAAGATTTGCAGGGTCATAATTGTCCCTCAGTATAGAGATGTAGACTACCATCAGAATATGATGATATGGTAGTATCTAATCATAAGTTGCTAAGAGCTCTAAAATTCATAGTGGTAGGCTTTTAGCTGCTTGATTTTACAATAGGAAGAGACGTGAAATTTTAAGATTCTGTTTTGTTCATACTAGTGTAACGTTGACTTTTTAAAATAAGGAGTGGAGGATGTTAGACTTGGGGCTGCACTGTTTGGGAAGGTTATGTTGCATTTATCTTTGCCAATTCGCAGTGTGACAGGAATGTGTGAAGATGCAGCAGTTTTCCAAATAAATTTCAACACCCCTAATTCCATTGTAGATGGAGAGTATTAGAGTTCAGTAGCTGGGTCCTACTAGTGGACAAGTGTCTTGTCTTAATTTGCATGATATCTGTATAATATTTCTAAAATCACAACTGTATGCTTGCTCTTTTTTTCTTAGGAACATGATTTCCCTACAGAAACAGTCAAATTTGGGCCAGAGCGTATGTACATTGACTGCTGGGTCAAAAAGCAAACCTATGATACTTTCAAGGAAATTTTAGGATCTGGGATGCAATTTCATTTACAGGTAAATCATTAAGTAAATCACCTCCTTTTCTGTTTGTCTTGGGTTATTTGTTTCTAAGTGCCATGCTTCCATGATGGCAGAAAGTGAGGAGGAATTAAAGAACCTCTTAATGAGGGTGAAAGAGAAGAGTGCAAAAACAGTCTGAAGCTCATCATCAGAAAAACTAAGATCATGGCCACTGGTCCCATCACCTGCTGGCAAATAAAAGAAGATATGGAGGCAGTGACAGATTTCACATTCTTGGGCTCCATGATCACAGCAGATGGTGACAGCAGCTCCGAAATTAAAAGATGCCTGCTTCTTGGGAGGAAAGCAATGACAAACCTAGACAGCATCTTAAAAAGCAAACATCACCTTGCCGACAAAAGTCCACACAGTCAAAGCTATGGTTTTTCCAGTAGCGATGTATGGAAGTGAGAGCTGGACCATAAAGCTGACTGTCGAAGATTTGATGCTTTTGAATTGTGGTGCTGGAGGAGACTCTTGAGAGTCCCCTGGACTGCAAAGAGAACAAACCTATCCATTTTGAAGGAAATCAACCCTGAGTGCTCACTGGAAGGACAGTTCCTGAAGCTGAGGCTGTAATACTTTGGCCACCTCATGAGAAGAGAAGACTCCCTGGAAAAGATCCTGATGTTAGGAAAGTGTGAAGGAAAGAGGAAAAGGGTATGACAGAGGATGAGATGGTTGGACAGTGTCATTGAAGCTACCAACATGAATTTGACCAAACTCCGCGAGGCAGTGAAAGACAGGAGGCCTGGTGTACTCTGGTCCAGGGGGTCACGAAGAGTCGGACACAACTAAACGAGCAACAACAACCATGTTGCCAAAGACAAACAGTGCTTTTCTTATCACAGTTTCCTGGAGGTTGTTTCTTGCTACAGCCCGTGGGGAGAGGGTCCTCCCCAAGCCAGAAGTCCTTCTAGCCTGTTAAGAGTTGGTGGGAGAGGGCAATTCCCAAACTCTTGGCTTCTGTCAGATTGCTTCATCTTGCTTGTACTCTAAAACAGAAAGAGGAAAAAAACTGCAGTTCATCCAGAGGTCCTTTCAGGCCGTACATGAGAGAAGCAGTGCTTTCCATAGTTTTGTTTCCTCATATTTGAAAGAGGAAAGCAAGCTCCCTAAGATGTACTGGACACTGGCTAGATTTAACCAGAAACGTTTTCTACAGGTTAATTCAAACATATGTGCCCCATCTATGGTTTCAAACAGTATTACAGCAGATGCAGTGCAGGATTTTGGGTTTTAGTGCTCATGCTGATGGATTCTGGGAGAAGTCCAAAAAGACTCACTTTCCCAGACTCTGCCACTTAGCAGATAGGAAGGAAATCAAAGGCTCATGCTGCTTTGGCTTTTCAGTTAAGCAAAGGAGCACCTTCTGAAGCTAAACTCCATTGCAGTTTATAAGCCTTTTATAAAACATTCGGTGGAAGAACAGAACTGTGCTCAGTCTTGGTTTTTTTGGCTCTTTTTTATTTTTTGTTATTTTTGGGAACCCATTCATGAAATAGGAGTTATGGGGCAAATGTTTATAATGCATATTTGCTGGAACGCTTTAGAAAAGCATCTCTACTTCCATGAAAAGTGCTTTTCTGTATTATGTTCAAGTAGTTGTAGACAAGAGATCAGTTGTTTCCCATAACCTCTGTTTTAATAGGGAACATCCAGTTTTAGCTGTGGAAATAATAGAACTATGATTAAATTTGTTGATATGAATTATTGATGCAAGTTGTTGATGCTGTACTTGACACCGCAACATTGATACATAACTCAATGATTTGTTCTTTGCAGTCCAATGAGCTTCTGCGAAATGTCTTCGAACTTGGACCACCACTGGTGCTTGATGAAGCAACTATTAAAACCATGAAGATACCTCGTTTTGAAAGGGTATGCTAACCTCTGTTTTGTGAAATGCAATTATCAAGCTGTGTTTTGATTTACTGCTTGCCTTAGCTGTTATCTCCTTGGAAAATCTGTATGAGAAAGAAACTCAACCTGATACAGAGTGCTGTGGTTCAATCTTTTGTAGCTGCGAAGACCTAGCAATGCAGCTTAAGTTGAGTTACATGGGCACCTGACTCGGTATTGCTTGCTCAGTACTACCCTGTTTCCCCGAAAATACTGTAAGACAAGGTCTTATAATAATTTTTGCTCCAAAAATGCATTAGGGCTTATTTTCAGAGGATGTATTATTTTTTTCATGTACAATAAATATAGTCATGTCATCTTCTGGTTGCTGCACAAAGGTGGAGGGCAGGGTTTCACTTAACTAGGGCTTATTTTTATGGTAGGGCTTACAAGCATTCTGAAAAATCCTACTAGGGCTTATTTTCAAGTTAGGTCTTATTTTCGGGGAAACGGTACAGTTCAGTTTATTTCTGAGCAGTGTGGCAGATGTACTTACATAGATTAGAAAGTTAGGAGGGAAGGAGGTGCTTTGGGAATGCAGGCAAGTAGATTGAGATTTACTTAATAACATATGGTAAAACTGCTTTACTCACTTTCCAAGCCAAGGATTTAGATGGGTAGTAAAATATGTTTTGCTTCTCAAAAGTGGCCTTTGGGATAGTTTGGCTAATGATAACCAGTTTGGGCAATGAAGTCCAAAACATATGGAGGAACAGTGATTGAGAATCACTGGCTGAAATCTGCTTATATGTTGCTGTGCAAATGACATAGCTCTTGGAGGTGATTTGCCCCAAGTTAAGAAATCGTTATAGCCAATAGGAGTTGCATGCTGAGTCATACCACTCAGCCTGCAGCAAACAATGTTTATGGTGATTTCTTAAGGCAGTCTACCTCCAGATGTTACACCACTTACATTATGGCAGCATAACCAGGCAAGAAGGTTTAGGCTACTGGTTTCTAGCTTTGGGTCCTCATGTTCTTAAGATTAAAAATCCCAAAAGTCTTCACCTCTAGCTGTGCTGGGCAGGATTTCCGGAAGTTGTGGGCCAAGAACATTTGGGGACCTAAGGTTGGGAACCACTTAGACTGCGGTTTGGATTTGCAGTCTGCAAGTAATGTGTGAAGCCTTTGTGAATGAATTTTGGGAATGTGTTGAGTGTGGTAACTGAAGCAGAGGAAGATGTATTTTAAATAAATGAAGCAGGATGGGGGGAGTTAGTAACAAATCTACAGTGTCCAAATTATTTGAGATTTTGGCTGTACTTCAGCTCAACTCCACAGTGAAACCTTTGGCAAGAGCAAGTTTTGTAGTCATTGTGTAAACATGTTTCTGTTCTACTTAACCATATTGTTAACATATTATTAAACTGATAATAATGAATTAGTGATAAACCCTTAATTTTTTCAACATTAATATCCTACCTTTGTTTTTTTTTAATGAACAAAGCAGAAACACAGCAAGGCAACATACCAGAATTCATGAATTAAACTAAAATAGTGAGAACCAGTAACACGAGGTCTGATTGTCCTTGCAAAGCTGTCCATAGAATTTATCTGCTCTGGGTGCAGAATGGTGTGTAGCTTTTGTAATCATCTATGAAATAGGGTGTTATCCTGTCAGCAGCTTCTTCAGACCATGATGGTTTTTTCTATTAATGGTTTCACTTTGAGATTAAGTTGCATCTTAACTTGGTGTCATAAAAAGTGCAACATTGTAGCTCAGGTGCAGTACTTTTGGACCATCAACTGTTGAACGGCAACCCATTGTCCCCGCCTATGCTAACTTAAACAGAGGGAGTTGTTATTCCAACATCTGGAATGCTGCAGACCCCCTATCGTTGTCTTAACTGAAACTGGCATATCTGCAAGTCTTACTATATTTTTCTTTTTTTTGATCAATTCCTAATGCCAGGTTGTGTAAAGTATGCTTATTCGGGATTATAATTTCAGTTATCAGAGGAGTATTTAACATTGATTTAGCTTTGCTAAGATTTATAATTGCTGTTTTCCCCTGTTTTTATAGCACCTGTACAACTCGGCTGCATTCAAAGCTCGGACAAAGGCTCGAAGCAAATTTCGTGATAAAAGGGCAGATGTAGGTGAAGTGTTCTAAAGCAGCTGTTAAACACCTTTAGCTTTTGTTAAATCTAATTTTTATGAAGTGTAATCCCATTATTTAAAGTGAAAAGGCTTTTTAATTGTCTGTATCTCTTATGAATTTGTATAGTAATTGATGTAATGTTAATTGCGTAGATGGCTATGTAGAGTATATAGGTTACAATGTGGGAGAATTAGGAGGGCAGATTCTAACACTAGTAGGCAAGACTGGCTCTTGAATAATTCCTACATCATTATTAGTCACATGGTGCTGAGGCCTGTTTTGATACAAACCATTGTTTTTAGCAATGTGATGGAATGGGTGGGAAATGCTAAGAACAATACACTGGGATAAACATGCCTCTTAACAGGCTGCTATTAAGAAATATTTTAAAATAAAACATCTAGGCTTTGGCAATGACGGTGTGCCATGAAGGGGACCCTCAACTTTAGCTAACATTGACAGTGACGTAGAACTTGGATGTTCAAAGAAATGTTACACTCAATATGCTGAAATTTGGATAATAAAATACTTCTCTGTAAAAGCTACTTTTGTGTTGAATCTTTCTCTGAAATGAGTTTGTCAGTTTTCTCTTGGAAAGACAAGGATAATTTTTTTTTAAAAATGCTGCTTGTGAAGTTTTGGGGGGGAGAGCGAGAAACAGAAGAATGTACCAAGTAAATATGCTAAAGTCCTGCCAATTTGCTGCGTCCTGATATATTATGGCCCTGATGTTTAGAACCTGTAAGGCTAAAGCAATAGGTATGTAGCCTGTGAAATATGGAAGGATATACTGGCCCTAACTCCTTACTGGAAACAATGAGATACCAATCCTCACAATTATTATTTCATAACTATAAAGCAAGAACTAATGTGTAATGACTTGAACTCTACAACAATATGCACACATTACATTTGAAGTTAGAGTCTTGCTTCTATCTCCACCCTGCAAAGCTCATGTTTTTTATGCAAATATTGGTGGGAGTCACAGGTTACTTGAGTATTATAAAAGGGGATTATGACTCAGAAAAAGGCTGGAAAACACTATCCTAATCCCTTCATTGTACCTGAAAAAAATATTGTTCATTACTCTAACAAATGAGTACTGGAACATAAGTTATGCAACCTAAGCAAAGTTGAATAGGAATGCAAGTTAAGATGTGTTGGGGGGAAGCATGGGCATATTGATCTCTGACTAGAATAAACTTGGGGTAGCAGGTTTTGCACCCCTAGACAATGTAGAGTTAAGTATCCAGCCCTTTGGCTACCAAGATTAGGAAAAACAATGAAATCTATGCACATTGTCTGGCTTGACACCTATTACCCTGAGCTGATTCTACAAATTTGCAGATTCCACTGTTAATCATTTTGTTTTAAACAAGAGCTTGGCCCCTATATCTGGCCATGGTTTTTGGTGCTTTTCTGTTGCTTCTGCAATCCCTGTTCTGTGGTAGCCAGCTTGATGAAGGCTCCTTCAATATTTTAGACTTAGCTTCTGTTTGTGAAATTGTAATGGTTTAATAAAGGTATCACCAGCTAGGGAGTGTGCCATTTAATTGGGTTTTTATTTTGTGGGGGGAGGTGATTCCAATTCCAAAGGATTCCCCAGGCAGAATTCTGGGTTCCAGCCCACAGCCACACCTACATTGCACTCACCTGGAACAAGCCTATTTTTGAGACTCCTTGGTGATGCTAGGCCTATTCATATACACAAGAAGGAAAATGTCCTATTGTTTCCTGGAAGGAATAAGTCTTTGTGGGAGGTGTAGTTCATTGGGTACTCCTCAGAAACTACTAGAGCTCAGCTGCACCAACGATTCCACTCTTTAGGCACCAACAAAGGACACTGGATAGCCATTCAGGCCCCAAATAGAACTCTGGCAGGGAGTACAGAAAAGAGCAAAAACTACCGTACCTCTCCATGCAGAGGTTGCCATGGATGGAGACCTGGAACCACCTCTAGAATGTGGAGATTTGCTCCTGTGCCATATGTCAACAGGAGATCTAGACCAAGTAGTCTTGCCTGTGACCTGTCCCAATAGGACTGAGGCTCTTCATGCTGAAGTGCTAATTTTGGCACTGGCGGGCAATCTTCCAAAGCCAGAACATCAGAGTGTTCGAGTTGAGAATCTGAGAGAGGCTTGCTGGTGAGATACCACTAGGAGGTCCAAAGACAAGGATCTGGCAGGGAAAGATTGATAAGTTTGCCTGGAATGGGAACAATCCATGCATCAATATCCAAGCTTCTGTAGATACTCGGTATGGGAAGACATCCTTGGTAGAGTAGCCAGAATCAATGTTGCTTTCCCATTCCCTTTGGTCTTCCTTGATGTTACCTCAGCAGCAGAAAATAGGGAACTGAGGAGGGCCAGCGTGGTGAATATCATGCCTACTAGAGAGAGAGGGTGAAGTCTTTGGTATCATTGAGCTCTAGATGTTTCCAACTATTGTTGTGCAAGCGCAAGAGTACCCAGTGTGTGAATTCACAGATGACCACTTGAAGAGCAGGTAAGAAACCTGTCCTTTGGAGAAGTTCTCTAATAGAGCCTTGGGAGTTGAAGTGAAAAAACAAAAATGGCATATCACTATTACCCATCCTTGTTTTCAAACTGAGTGAAAGGGTCCTATAGATTTTTTTATTCTTGTCTCATTCTGATCTCATTGCTATTTGGGAATCTGGACTCCTATGATAATGGTTTGATTCATACAGTATGTAACTTACTGTGCCGTTCGCCCTCGTACCCCTTGCCTGACCCTCCAAACAGAGCACATGAAGGCAAACTACTACTTTTTAGCCCGCTGCCACCAGTTGATCACTAAATCAACATTAATTATGAAAGGATGAAGATGCAGGTCCAAACTTCACTGTCTTTTAAATAAATCATTTTTATTGATTACAGATCTCTGAATAGTAATCATAGATAACTTCTATTATTATCAATCACAACCTTCTATTTGTTATTACAGTTCTTACTCACTTTTCACTCTAATCACACCTCAGATCTCACACTCTATCTCCTCCACTCTCTCACTCTCACTGACTGACTGACTCTCTGACTCCATCTCTTTATTACATATCTCTCGGCTCCGCCTCTCAGCTACATTAGCCTGAAACATGAATATTCATAAATACTTAACATAATAAAGGTGAACGCTACACTTATATTGTCTACCTATATTTAATTATCGAACAAGTGTGTCCAAATTGGTGGTTGTGGGTTTTCCGGGCTCTTTGGCCATGTTCTGAAGGTTGTTCTTCCTAACGTTTTGCCAGTCTCTGTGGCTGGCATCTTCAGAGGACAGCACTCTGCTCTGGTGTAGTTTGCTTGGGACTACACCAGAGCACAGAGCGCTGTCCTCTGAAGATGCCGGCCACAGAGACTGGCGAAATGTTAGGAAGAACAACCTTCAAAACACGGCCAAAGAGCCCGGAAAACCCACAACAACCATTAGATCCCGCTCGTGAAAGCCTTCGTGAATACATTCTGTCCAAATTATTCCTCCAGATATTCCAAGTAGGCATTTGATAAATGCCATAACCTAGGTCCTAGGGTATCTTTATGTAGTAACTAGGGAAAGATGTAGGAAGACAGAGCTCTTAAAATGGGTGGTGAACTGATGGTTGTCTCAAATGTTCAATTACAACTCTCATCAGCCCTAGCCTGCATAGACAGTGAAGGCTAATGTGAGTTGCAGCCCATATGCAGTGCATTAAGAGGTCATAGAAAACCGAAAGATTAAGTACCCAAGAGTGTGCAGCTTTGTGTTTGGATGGCCTCTTCCAATTTAGCAAAATGTTAAGCAGATCTATACGATCAAGAGTGTAGACTCTTAGAGATGTCTTGGTGCAAATGTCCTTCCTTACAGGGTTCAAAGCAAGGGGAAGAAGGAATCAGCTATTTAGCTAATAGCTAGATCATTGCAGATGCTCCTGAATGGTAAAAAGCCCTTGCCAAAGAGACCACATGGTTTCTCTTTCTCAGATGTCCTGACAGATGCCTGTGAGATACCCGGAAGCAGTGCATGAGTTGTTAAATTCTCTGCAGAAGATACTAAACACCTCCATGATATGTACAAGTACCAGCAAGGATAACTGTGTTGGCATAAAACAAATTGCAAAATATATACTAATATGATACTTCTATTAGGCCAAGCAAAAACGCACAATATTTGCAGAAGCCGAAGCAAATGTGCAAGCATGAGAACTCCTCCAGGTTTTTCTGTACTTTTGAACGTTTTTTGCTGGACTTAATATGTACAGTATCTTATATAAGTACCATACTAACAACAATAGAGCATAGTACACACTAGTATATACTTAGTATATATTTTGACAGCAATGCTAGCAAAGTGTGTACTGGAGGAAAGCACTAATTCAACTCCAAAAATAGACAGCCTATTACAGTAAGATGCTGATTCTTATCTATATGGGATTGTATTACAATCAGCACTGCAATCTATTTTTTCTTATTATTACACTATCCAGTCAAATATTTGAAACCTGACAACTTGGCTGAAGCAAATACTAAATATAGATGGAAAGGGGACTCCTGTTTCAAAGCTGAACTTGTTGGTTCAGGAGAAACACGCCAATGGATTTCTAGAGGGTAAGAACAAAATACATTTTCTTCTAGATCATAATGCTGGGCTTGGCACAGGAGTTTACAGGGACATGATTAAGATGTAAGTAATTTATGACTTTAAAGCAATAAAGAATCCACTTACTTTGAGGTAACTGTAATCTACTATTTTCTGCTCATCTCTCCCTTCATTTTAAAGAAATTAAGTGAAAATTAAGTTGGGAATCAGTGACCAAACCTGTACGGACTCAAACCCTGGAAAAGTGATAATAGTATTGTGTTAAGGAACAGTGAGTTTAGTCCCCTGTAAGTCGGATGCTAAACGGAGATAGTTATGCTTGAGGCAAAAAACCCCAAACCAAACCAAAACAAAAAAATGAAACAGATCCATTACACAAGTCTTAAGCCCCTAATGGGACATAATCGGGCTTTATATATTTCAAAACAGACTTAAAGCTAGTTAAAGGAATTTGATTACATGTGCCAAACCTCAGTGATTTACAGACCTCTTTACTGGGGTTTGCAATTTGTCTTTAAAGCAGGAAAAGTTGAGATAGAACAAGATTGCTTAATATTGGGGAAGATCTTTTCAATCTTATGTAACCCATGTTGAAATGCTATCTTCCGAACTGCAGTGGGTTCTCCGTAACGTTGTCTATGAATGCTTTCATGGAGGGAACACACATCTTCCCCATACGATTGTATCCCTAAGGAACCCATAAGCTAACCATCCTGAACTTGGCCTTGCACAGATGAGCTATTTTCTACCATAAAGTATTTGACCTTTGTAACTGTAGCCTCTCCTTGTAATGCTCTGTACTTTGATCAGAGTACTGTTCTTTTTGTTGTTTTTAGGCAGTTGAAAATGCTACTTCACTGAGGACTGCAATTCTCACTCTTTGTGACACTTCTTGCACTTGGGATGGGTGACTTTTCCATTTTCTCTCTTGGTTAGCAAATCCTACTTTATTGAAAGGTGCATTTTCCCCTCTGTCTTTTGTTTGAGAATATAATTTTGCCCAGTCTTGAATTGTTCCTCTACCTTTCCACCCCTTCTCTTCCATTTTCAAGTATTTCAATAGCCTACATTTCAAGAGCTCTGCCCTAATTTTAAGACTGTGCTTGAAGAAATGGCAAAATGGAGTAAAGCGCATGAAATGCAAACTGATGTAGCAGTTTGTAAGCAAACTAGTTAGTAAGGTTCATGGAGTAGTGCTGGGTTTTGCGACACTGTCAGTTGCCAGTATGTAACACTGCAATGCTGTGCATCAGAGGATGGGGCTGAGGAAGGGGTAAACAGGCATTGTGGTCATATGCTAGCTCAAATGTACACACTTTGAAGAGAGCTGGGTAAGCTGGGAGGAAAAGATGCCTGTTATGTGAGTAGCAGAAGCGATCTGTCCCACATCCCTCGTTCATGAGGTTCTGATGAGAGAAAATTGTTTTCCATCTTGTTAAGGGAAGCAGCCTAATTTGTCACTCTGAGATGAAAGTATGAGGGCCTCCTTGCTGTGAGTGGTGAGCAAGGATGACTCAGGAAACATGTTTAGTGACATGGAAACTAGGGCAAAGGGAAGAGAGCTGGCAAGATCTTGTAATGCTATTCCGGATGTCCTTGGTGGACTGCCAGAAGGGCAAAGAGTAAAGCAGAGCAGACTTAAAAGTTGCAACACAGGGTCAGAAAAGAGAAAGGAAGTCTTCACAGCTTTGAAAAAGAAACCAACCTCCTTTCTGTATTTTCCCCCATGTTTGTTGTTAGTTTATACTTCTTTTCATCCATTTTATGTTCTTCAAGCCGTGAGGTTCTATGATTTGTAGGATCGAGGCTTTCCAAAG